TTTCATACTAATAACAGTTTCATATCGAATAACTCTAGAAGCATTATTAATAAGTTGTGCAATACAGGTACGCCTTGGGACATGTAATCGGACGCCTTGGGACATGTAATCGGAACTGGGAAGAATATAGCCTGATCAACTATATTTGTCCGAGAGACGACTAACGTATGCCAAGGAGTGTCTGCAGTGGACAACGATTTTAAAACTTACCAAAAGCACATCATTACATAATACTAAGGGAGTTTTTGTGTTGTCATCAACCATTAAACTTAAGGGTAAGTTTCATGTGCTCTAGCTTATAGTAAATTCTTAACCCTATTCTCGTACAAACTAAATGGCAAGATTCCATCACCCCAATGACCCCTACTACCCCAACCAAGGTAATGGAGGATGGATCGAAGAAGATCATGAAGAAGACGAAGAGCCTATAGAGTTGGAGGAAGGAGATGACTCTGGTACAGATTCGGAGCCAGAAATTATCAATCCACCAATCCCACAACCTCCCATCCACGTGAGGAACTTCCAAGGACCCACTCCTATGTGGGGAAGTCACCTCCATCATTGGAGCCAACAACAAAGCTTACGCCCCCCCTACGGCATGTACCGAGACTTCTATGATGTCAAAGGCGGGGGATCAGCAGACCGAGCACTTTCGGTCATGGTTGGAAAACTCACCAACCAGTGCTATCAATCTGGAGTGCAAGCCAACCGAATCCGAGAGGTCAACGTGGAAGTACAAATCCACACGGCCGATATCAACCGCCTAGAGATGTTGCAGGACGACATCCACCTTCGCGCCGAAGCATTCCAAGCACAAGCAAATGCAGCCTTCGTAGAATTGAGGGAACAACAAGCTGCGTTTGATAGGCGCCTCATGGAGTCAAAGCAGTCCAACACGGAGTCGAGCTCCAAGCGCAAACCGCGCCGCAAGTAGTAGTTGCCCGACTCTCAATTTTTGTTATAAATTAGGACTTCGGATAAAATTATTATTTTCTTTAAAAATTTTCTGTAATCGGAGACCTTTAGAAAGGTCAAGAACCTTTGTCTAGACTCAGATGTAACACAACTATATGTTGAATATATATATATATATATATATAATATAT